CAGGATGGCGGGCGTGAGGGGCGAGAGGACAAAGAGCGGCTGCCCGATCCGAATCGGAGCGCCGTACGAGAGGCTCTCTGCCGGCGGCGGCAGCAGGTAGGGCGTGAGCCCGGCCACGTGCAAGAACAAGCCGGCGCAGGCACAAGGCGCAGAGATGCGCAGCCGGTTGAAGACCGCCGCTCGCCGCGCCGCCCGGAGCATCTCGACGGCACGCGCGACGTACCGAGTGGCCGGGTCGGTGGCCGGCTCCATCAGCCGCGTCCGCGAGCCGAGCTGTAGCGCGGCGGCGAAGCGCGCGTCCCTCCATGTCTTTGAGGCTGCGCTCACGAGGATGGCCACGAGGATGGCGAGCGTGGGAAGGAGCGCCAGGAGTGCGACGCCGTTGAGGTAGGGACGCTGCTGCCTGTGAATCTCAGCCCGCTCTGCTGCTTCGAGCGCCTGCACCGCTGCCTCGTGGTCGAGGCCCGCGTGCGAACACGGGCCGTCGGAGGAGCACGCAAACACCGACGGCGGCACAGGCCACTGGCAGACGCAGCGGAAGAGGGCGAGGCACGGAGCCTCGAGCAGCCCACCGTCCGAAGAAAGGTAGGCACAGCCGGAGATGTTGGCGTTCGGAGCAAAGGCTCCGGTCCAGGCCGCAACGCCGGCTGCAGCAGTGCCAGTGCCCGCTGAGTCCGCGACCGCGAGCGCCGCGGGCGACCCTCGCCAAGAATGGCTGGTGCACAGCGCGGCGCACTCGAGCCACGTGCCCTCAACCGGCGGGCTCGTGTAGCACTGAGATGCTGAGGAGGACCAGCCTGGAGGGCAGGGCATGGCGCCCCACAAGGAACAGCTGAAGCCAGAGGGGCGACGATTGTTCGTCCCAGTTCAGAAAAAGAAAAAATTGTCTGCCCTGTGATTTGGTCTCGGCAGCTTGTCAGCCCTGAAGATCCCAATATAGGATTCTCCCCAAACCTTGCTCAGCTGATCCAGCACGGGCCGTAGGCCAGCCCAGGGCAAAGAAACCAGTACCTCATCAGGCTTCCCTGAGCGTCACAGCTCGGTGATCGCGCCGGCCGGACACCACTGTAACGTCCGTTCCGGGCATTTGAACGCGACCTTCGGGGGCAAAGACATTGGCTCTATGGCTCAGACTGGACTCCTCTTGGTCCCTTCTGATGCCCTAGGCCACACCTGGGCCTTACCCGGGGCTCTAGGGGCC